ATATGCAGAAAGTGCTGTGTGGAAACAAAAGATAATATCAAATGATACAGCTAATAAGTGTTGAAATTTGATGCTTAATAACATTCTGTTGATGAGTATCACTTGTTTGAGCTACACCATGGGTTAATTTGACTATCTGTGACTAAGTAGCAGGACAAATAGACATGACAGACTGGAAAGGTAGATTTTGCTGCAGATGTGATGATAAACGGCTGCTTTCTAACAATTAGCAGAGAGGCTTCAATGAAAAAAGTCATCCTGAACAGTGAAATAGAATCTATTTAACATACAAATTGAATTGAGAAGTGATCTGTTTAATGTACAATTAACTTGAGAAATTAGTAGTATAAGGAGAATAAAAAGATGTTTAAAGATACAAATAAAAATTAATCCATGTTCGTAATTAGTGGGATAAAATTAAGAGGACTATCCATAATTTTAAGTCTGGCATCTAGAAGATACTTCTTTATTCTAACTGTATCATAGCCTTTGATAGTTAAATACCTGGGCACTCGATGGGGTGTGACTGCTTTCCTTGAAACTTCCAGTCTTTGTCAGATGAAAGAACTGAAACCAAAATAGAGCAGCTGTTGTCTATAAGAGCTGCCAGCTGATTAGCAGTCCGCTAATTTTTGTCTTTGAATGTGCAATCTCTTTCATGATTGAATTTAATGCCTGCTGGTTCATGCTGTGCATCTTCAGCCAGTTGGAAGCAAGTGGCAAATTATCATCACTTTGTTGCATTTTCTGTGGCTGACTTGGTTTCGGGAAGGGCTGAGCACCAGACTGATGCCGTGTCACTGGAACAGCTCAGTGAGGTTTGCCATCTGAATGCTAATCCAGTCTCATCGACAGTAACTCGGAAAGATGTGTGCTGCACGTGCAAGAACGTGCCTTGGAGGTAGTTCACACTGGGTTTCTGGACTCTGTTCACCTAAAGGACAATGAAGACCGCATTTCTTGACTTTTCTCTGCCTTTTGACTTTTCAAGGTGTAAGGTGGAGGTTATAAATACCTGGTTCTGTTGGTTACTTTTTTCACAGTCAAAAGGTTTAAGGAATAGCTTTATTGAATCAGTATAGGATGTTATTTATATTTGAGGTAGGTATCATCTGAAATGTCTTGCTTCAAGAATTCTTGAGGTTGTTTTTCCCAAGAAAAGTGCCCATAATAATTTGAGGTGGCACACACTATTTATGTGGTGGGGAACACAGATCGTGAAGGATTTTTTACATGTGAAAAAGACTTTCCTATGTACATTGCTATGAGAGTTTTGTGGCACTTGCTCTGTCCAGGAACTTCCATCCCTGTCTTGCTGTCACTGTACAGCATCTGAGTATCTTCACACATCCTTGTGTTAGACATGAGTTGAGAATGTGGTTAGCAGCTCTTACACTGAACTGCTAACAAAATGGGACTAGTCTTCTCCATTCTTCTGGTATATGCTCTAGCCTTTGCCTTTTAAATTTTACAGAGTTGGATTGGTTTAGTTTATGCTTTTTCAAAAAGAAATCATGCTGTATCACATGTATCAGCAACCAACCTGGTTTCTGCCATAGCTGCAGAATGGCTACACTTTGATGGAGTTCAGGAGTAGAGTGAAGGAGAGCAGGGATTATTTTGACCTCATGATACAATCGGCTTAGCATGTACTTAACATCACAGCTAAGCTATATTAAAAGGCAGTGGCTGAGCTGGTAACATATCACAGTGATTTTAAATTAAAGAAGGGCCTGGTGGATGATGTGAATCCCCACATTGCTCTTACCCCACAGCCCAACGAGTATCCAGTGCTGTTGCTTCAGTTTGGTTTTCTCTTCCTGGAGTAAAAATGTTGTGGGTCCAGGTTTGGCCTAGATATTTCTCACAGTGGTGGCTGACCTTCTTAAATGACCACTGAAAACTAATTGAACTTGTGCTGTCGTTCCAGCCTCAGTATTGATCATAGAATGATCAGTAGAATTGATGATGTTCCCCTGTCCTCCTTAGCAGGTGGTCTGCTACCAACAGGTGGTCTGCCAAAAGAAAGGCATGTTTTTCAGATGCTCCAGCTCATGTTCTGCTTGTTGTTTTTTTTTTTTCTAGGTATGCCTGTTGACTTCATTGTAAGTGAAAGTTCCATTTCTTAGACTTTTAGCAGAGCCACAGGCAGAGAGTTAAAAGGATCTTCTCTAACTATAGAAGCATGTCACATAGAGTTCAGTTTGCTGTTAAGGAGTGCAGTTTTTATGTGTTGAAAAAGTTGCAATGTGCTTCTGGCTCATTTTCTTTCATGTTGCTCTCTAGTGCTGTAAATAGAATGTTTGTGATACTGTAGAGAGCAAATTTGCTCTTTGTGTCCTTACATGCACCTTGTATGTGGCAATTCGCAAAGGAAAGGTTTTTGTAGCTGTAAAGTATGTGATCAGACTTAAGAAAACGAGCTGTTTCTTGATTCAGATTTGCTCAGATAACTCCAAGTTGGCAACGATATATTTGTGACCAGATAAAATTGTCATTCCTTTGTAAGTCAGATTTATCAGTCTAAGGGAGCATAATGGTGAGAGTGACTCCTATAGACAGGTCTCTAGACTGCTGCACTGTCTTAGAATAAAAAGAAAATATTTCTTATGTCATTATTCCAGAAAGCCAAACAATTTTCTACATTGACTTAAACAGAGGAAGAAATAAGATAGAATAAAGATCATAAAAAAAAACAACAACAACAAAAAAAAAAAACCCCAAACTAACACCTTCACAGTGAAAAACAAAAAAAACCATGATTTCTGTGTGCCAAGTGACTCATTCCAAGGCAGAAGACAAGCCCCATGTGATTGAAGTCTACTTTCTAAATATTGTGGAAGCTTGAAAGACTCATTCTGCTGTATGGGAAGGTGTCTGAAACTCAAACATCTGTAAGCTACAGCTTGCTGCATGAGCCAGACCTCACATGGCTTCTTCTGAAATGTCTTCACTAAATGTTTTGATCCTGTATTTTGTTTGAGGTTTGATCCTGTATTTTGTCTGCATGTTTGGAGGTGGGAAAGAAAATCCTCTCACTCCAAAACTGACAGCTACTTTCTGATGTAGTTTACTGTGACAGGTAGTAAATAGCTTCTTAAGATGGCGTCTTTTAAAACCAACTCTTTTGTCACTTGTTTCTAGAGGACTGAATGGAAAACCATAAGAGGCACACTTTTACAAGGCTGTGAAGAATTCATGAAGAGTTGGTCAGAACTAGTTTTAGTGGTTATCTGTAAAACCTGAAAACTAACCTTCATGGTACCTTTTCATTGCTTTTGAACTAGTTGAAATTCATGGAGACAGAGGGCATTTAAGGTTGTTGGCAACTGATGTTTGGTTTATGCACAGTCTGTTCTTCCATCTGGATTAAAAAATGCCGACGGGATAATCCAATTGAGATCATAATCTTGTTTGTAGCTCTGACCTTGCATCACAGGGAATGCATCAGTCTTCAAGTGAGCCCTTATACACAAAAGGTTTGGGTAAAAGAGGCTATGGATGCCTCAAATTTCATCTTAAAATTGGATATGACAAGGTAGGACTTTTTAGAGTTGCAAACTGAGGTAGAGAAGGAAATTCTAGAAAAGCATAGCCCTAGAAGCAGGGACAAGAACCTTAGGCCATGCACGATTAGAAAATGCAGATGCCAGCAACATGGTGCAGGGTCCTTGTATTCCTGGGGCAGCTGGGATATGAGCTCCTTGTTACTGGTGGTGAAGATGCTTTCTCTGTACTTCAATAAGTGGGTCTGCAGGGAGTGAGTGGGGTCTGGCTCAATGAGCAAACTCTTCCACTGTGCTGAAGAGAAAGGGAAGGAGGGCTGATAGAGCTCCTATAGTGTTTTTCCTGTCTGGGGTTTCACAGGGAAGGTGAGCCTGCAGCAGTTGCAGCGGCGTGGCCAGAATACTGGTGCCTGGTGTCAATGATTAGAAATCCCTGGTAAACCTCAGTCTGGTGGATCAACTTCTACCTGTCTTTGCTTTCTGCTGTTCTGGTACAGCGCAGGCCAAGATACACTGCCCTCAGTCTTTGTTCTGTTACTGACTTGGCTAGGGTAGAGATATTTGATTGACTCCAAAGCTGTTATTTTGAAGGAGTTTTGTTGTTATTCAGGTTTGTTTCCATTTACCATTGAATTTTCAGTTGGAGGTTTTTTCTGGTAAGCAAAAATTTCATGCTAGAGGTGCAGGTTTTTCTGCCAAGGTACAGATAGTGTTACAGGAGCTTTGTTGGACTCTCATTATTTTGGCATGGACTGGTGATTTTGATTGCTGGTCGTCTTTTTTTGAGGAGTTTTCTGTTCACCGTATGTTTGGTCACTCAAAGGCACTGCCAGGTAAAAGACGTGTTCGTGATCTCATTTAACGTGAGCTTGGTATCTACACACACAGTAAATGTGGTGTACTCAAGGGTTCCACCTCTAAGTTCAGCCAATCATTGCCCACTGTTCAAACTACTAATAATTTATTTACTATCTTGAGGCTTGTGCAGGTGCAGATGCCTCTGTCCATCACACAAATAAAGATACCTCTTTGAAGAACTCTGCTGTATTAGGTCGTAATTGGATTTACCAGGTAGAATTAAATTGAAGTCTCAGGTTTTTACAATGAAGCTGGAAGTCTCATCGTAGATCAGTGATCTACCAGGCTCTGGGAAAGCTTTGAAGATTGATTGGTAGTTTATAAATTGAAGGAAGGTTAGAGGGAAATTCTTCTTTACCCACTTATGTTTGTCTTGTGGTTTTCGGAGTGCACTGAAATTAGAACTGTTTTCTTGTGTGAGCTCCCAGCTGAGAACCCTATGCATAGCTCTTGTTGTAGAGTCAGGTAAAACCAAGATGTAAAGGATAGTCTGAAAGGCTCACACTTGAGCATAACTCTTCTGTGATCCTGCCATACATGTAGGACTTTGTTCAGTTTACAGAGCACATGGATATATGTGTTTTGGCAGCAGAGTCAATTTTTCTAAAATTAATTATTTTTGGCTTTTTTTCCTAGGATCACATGATTCTTTCAGCTACTGGGTTGATGAGAAATCTCCTGTGGGACCAGACCAAGCCACAGCCATCAAACGTTTGGCCAGACTTTCCTTGGTTAGAAGGATCATGAAGAAATGGTCAGTGACTCAAAATCTGACTTTCAAAGAGCAGTTGGAAGGTGGGATCCGCTACTTTGATCTTCGTGTATCTTCCAAACCTGGGGAAATAGGACAAGAGATTTATTTCATACATGGCTTGTTTGGCATCAAAGTATGGGATGGGCTGAAGGAGATTAATACCTTCCTTGAGCAGCACCCCAAGGAAGTAATCTTCTTGGATTTCAATCACTTCTATGCCATGGATGACGGCCATCACCACTTCTTGATCAACAGGATCCACTCAGCATTTGAATCCAAACTTTGTGCTGTTGAATGTGTGGAATACGTGACATTACAGTACATGTGGGAGAAGAAGCACCAGGTAGGGAAAGGATGTGTAATGTTTTTCAAACCCAAAAGGTTAAGATTTTAAAAACAGAATCTGTATGTAGTTCCCACTCAGAGGTGTTGGACCAAGGATGATGCTGATGGTCAATTTAAAGCCCACTAGGGCCTCCTTTATGTAGTGTGCATGTTTTCCTCCATTTATGTGCAGCAGAGTATCCCCTTGTCCATGATGTGACTAGTCTGTGTCCTGTTCCCAAGCATGCTTGTTAAATTACATTATATATCCTTGGAGCTTTGTGTTCCTCACAAGTGGTTTTCTCTTCTGGAAGAGCATGTATTGCAGACTTGTGTTGGTGAGGATTTGATTAATTGTCATCTTTCTGGCTTTAATGTGACTGAGGTAGAGTACAGAATTTCTTAGCTCCTTTGCAGCCATCCAAATCTATAGAGGTGAGGTTAAATGCTTCTGTCTGCTCCCATGTGTACATACAAACCAAGAATAGGGTTTCAACAGTGACTGAATTTCAGCAGCAGCTGTAATTCTTAAACTGTAAAATACATGAGGCTTTGAGGAATTCCTCTGAGCTGATATTGTCAGTGTTAGGGCTCAAAATGAATGATTTGTAAATGTGGGTGTTAATAAAAAGTATTGCATCTTTGTGCTATCCTCTTATAGAGAACCACCTTACAAGGCATAAAACATGGACTTTTGATTTGGAGAAGGTTTTACTGAAAGCAAGAAAGCTTTGGCATCTCATGCTGTAAGTGTCAGCAGAATGCCATTACACCACTCGACCCAGTACCCTTTAGCCACCTAGCAGGAGTTACTCAGAACATGGCAAGACTGCTAAAGTTCTTAACTTAAAGTACAGATACAGTATTCTCTGATGGTAAGAATCTGAAATTCTCTTAGAAATGCATTTAAGCTGAATTCTTCGAAAGACAGTTCAGTATGCTCCTGGCACCTGTCATTGTAAACTGATGACCCTTAAAGCCTGAAGCAATCCTGTTCTCATAGCTAACCAAAAAGATCTCTGTTTCCTTTGGCAATAGTGCAGAAAATTTGCTGACACTCTTGACTTGAGAGCACCTTCTTTTTGCTTGGTCCTCTTTTCACTGCTATGCTAGCTTCAACAGTACTGTATGAGCATAAGCCAATGCAACATCCTGCTCAAATTAAAATATAATAGTTGTGATTTTTTTTGTTTGTTTGTTTATTTTTTCTCTTCCTTTTTTTTTTTTTGTTCTGTTAGGTTCTCATATTTTACCACCACCCTTTGTATCAGGAATACCCCTTCCTGTGGCCAGGTAATAAAATGCCAGCACCATGGGCTAATACAACCAACGTGCACAAACTGCTGCAGTTCCTGGAGACCACACTTGAGGAACGAAGTCGTTACGGGACTTTTCATGTTTCTCAAGCAATCCTCACACCTCGAGTGAAAACTATTGCACGACATCTCGTTCGTGGTCTGAAGAACACACTTGTTCATAGGTAAGGACTTGTCTTCATTTCTCAGTTCTTTACTTACCACATTTCACGTTGAAAGAAGCACTGAGTAAGCAAGAAACCACGAGATGTTAGCTTAGGCTTGATGGTGCTTTGCTCAGTACTGTTGCTTGTGAGAGATATTTGCAACCCTTAAAAATAAAGAATCAATGAAAATAATACAGTGACAGGGTGTATATATATATATATAACTGTAAGTGGGTTGGGGGGGCGGAGAGCTTGTGCCACAGAGGAAGATTGGCTATTTCTGCATTCGGTTTTGCATTTGTCTGTACAAATCTGTCCCAGTAATATCAGTAATGGACAGATATATGACCTGGGGCAGTATATTATCTTGGGTGTTTTTTCTTTTTTACCAAAAATTAGATTAACCATTTGACTTTAATACCACTGACTGTTGTACAATTATTTTGTCTATGAGTAAGATCATTATAAGAGGGTTTTACTTGGAGTAGCACAGGGTGCCAGTGACTCTTAATAGTGTTAACAGCATGACCAGAATATTTCCATATGACTGAATATTATGGAATTATCACCTTGTATCCTATTTGCTAAAAATTAGGAAAATTGTCCTGATAGTATCTGGTCTCCTGGCTCACTATTTAATATTCCGTGTTTTGATGTCACTAACAGTTTATTTTGCCATAATGATATTAAGTTTTAAATTACTCTCGTACAGATGGTCTCAACTGGTCTAATTCGATCAGGAACTGAGCTTATTTCTAAGCAGCGAGATAAACACACATCTTCAGCAGCCAGTTCATGTTCCTTGTTCATTGGTCACTTCAGAGTTAATTACAGTATTACTGTTTTGAAGTTAATGCCAATGTAGCTTTTTAAAAATCCTTTCTAAAAATAGCAAATGTTGTGCTTTCACACTCACAAAAGTTGCTGATGTAAGTTGTTGACTGAGAGCAGGCCTGGTGAGAAGGACTTGGGGGGTACTGTTGGATGAGAGCCTGGACATGACCTGGCAATGTGCACTTGCAGCCCAGAAGGCCAAACACATCCTGGACTGCATCCAAAGCAGCATGGGCAGCAGGTTGAGGGTGCTGATTCTGCCCCTCTACTCCACTCATGAGATCCCACCTGGAGTGCTGTGTCCAGCTCTGGGGTCCCCAGCATGGGAAGGACATCAACCTGTTGGAGTGAGTCCAGAGGGGAGGCCATGAAGATCATTAAAGGGCTGGATCACCTTTCCTGTGAGGAAATGCCAGGAGAATTGGGATTGTTCAGCCTAGAGAAGAGGATGCTCCAGGGTGACCTAATTGCAGCCTTCCAGTACCTGAAGGGAGCCTACAAGAAGGATGGAGGGAGACTTCATACAAGAGCATGTAGTGACAGAACAAGGGAGAATAGCTTTAAACTGCAAGAGAATAGGTTTAGGTTAGGTATTAGGAAGAAATTTTTTACTGTGAGGGTGGTGAAGCCAGAGCAGTTGTGGATGCCCCATCCCTGGGAGCAAACTAGTCTAGTGTACAGTGTCCCTCCCCGTGGCAGCAGGGTAGGAATGAGATGACCTTTTAATATGCTTTCCAACCCAGGCGATTCTGTCAAGTAAGGTGGCGGTATACATCACGGACTTTTCAGTCTGCTTCCTGTTTACGGGCATTAATCTGGCGAAACATCAGCCATCCCAGCGGGCGTTCCGGGTTTGTGCGGGCGCTCGGCGCTGGGCGGCGCTCGGGGGCCGTGAGCGGGGTGCGGCGCCGGGCTGGTGCTGGGCGGTACAGCGGCCGCGGTCTGCGGGTTACAGCCGATATCGAACCGCCTTTCGGCTCTAAAACATCCGGTTTTTTTTTCAAGCGACTCCTGGCACGGATCTGGGCCGTAAGCCACCATCAGCTGGAAGCCTGCCTTCGCTCCATCCCTGTCTTTCAGCCCTATCCTTACCCCTTGTTTGCAAGTAAACTGAAAATTTAATAGATGCTGCCGTCTGCTAAAGCGTGATTGCTCCTGTACGTTTACACAAGCTAGCTGATGTGCAAATCAGTCTTTGCATTTTATGTAGATGTCTGCCTTCTCATATGGAAATTTTGCCCTGAATATGAATATTTAAATGTTCTTGAGCTCTTGTTAAAGGAGAAACGTGCAACAGTCACACTTAGCCAGCAGAAGTCTCATGTGTCCCTTGACAGGGGCAGTAATTATGCCTTCATTCAAGTTCTCTTTTTCTTTTGGTTCTTGATAAGATTTTTAAAATCTTCCTGAAAGAGGTGTGGTGGGGTGTTTTTTAAATTTTTGTGGATGTGGTTTTTTTCTTTATCACCCTGCTAGCTAATTTGCATGTCTACCATCTTCACAAATAATGTATGGGTGCTATGGCACTAATTGAAATAATGCTAATGTATTTATCCATTTGTCTAACTGCCGAAAAACCTGGTGTTTGCATATTAAAGTGCAAAAAAGCTGATGTAGACTCCTGGCTTGCATTGTGTCCAAGAAATTACTTGAAATTTTTCCCCATGGTAGAATTTCTAACTCCATTTAACTCAGTTCCTGACACACCTCACCTTCCTCTGGTTACAGTGATGTATAGCAGGACGTTCAAAACCCCTAGAGAGCTGACAGCCTGATTCTGGGTTTGGTTTCACTGATCCCGTTGTTTTGGGTGGGTCTGGAAGCTGAAAGGAGTTTTGTAGAAATGCTGCCTCCAACTTTTTTCCTGCCGACCCCAAGGCAGAAATGGGCAGGGGAGCATCTCAAGCCAGATATAGCTTTGCTTTGTGCTACACTGCAGTCTGCTGTGAAATTGAGCTTTTGACTTAACACGTGCTCAGGTGAAAACAAACCAGGTTGGAGAAAATTGTAGTGTAATGTTGAACACTGAAGCACAGTCTGCTCAGTGAATACAGAGTTCACAAATGTTTTGTATGCCTGCTAATTTGGATTGATAACTGACCAGTATTTGATAGCTAATGACCATGTGCTATGTTAAGCACTCGTCTCATCAGCTGGTGGCAGTCAGGACCCGATTACAGACATGAGATAATATATTTTGTAAACAGCATGTTGTGTTTGAAGTAAGTAGAGTAAGTATAGAGAAGTGTCTCTTTTAAAGTGTCTAATTTTCTTTATTTCAATTTCTTTAGGAACCTGCCCATGATTTTGAATTGGGTGAAAGAACAGAAGCCCGGTGTTATGGGTGTTAACATAATTACCTCGGACTTTGTGGAGCTGGTTGACTTTGCTGCTACAGTTATTGCACTGAATGACCTCCTTTTAGAAGAGGATGAATCTACATCTAAATCCTGATTGTGCTCATCAGTGGACATCTTTGAACTATGCTCAGTGTTTTACTTATCAAGTGAAACCCATTGTAGTCTCCATTCATTTAAAAAAAAAAAGTGTCCTAGAGGAACCGTGGTTAGACATCACGTACAGCCAGGTCCCCGCTCCTGGCGATGTGTGGACCTGAGTGGAACAAAGTACTGTCTGAGTGCTGCTGCGTGTCTGTCTGTGCTAAGTGTTTGACTAAGTTATGCACACATCTGCTGCCGTCTGGTGCAGTCCCTGCCTGCCAACGAGAGGCTGGCCTCTGGAGCAGATGTACCCGATTGTGGGGCGCATCTCCCTGGTGACTGGGCTCACCGTGCCCTTGTGTGTGCATCCTGCTTGTTTCCCATCACCACGGCTCACTCCAAGGATTGCTGCTGATCCCATAGCGGTCTGGCCAGGCTGGCTGAGATGGTATTGTTCTTGGGCCACCTCAGGCATAGCTGGGCCCAGCTGGGGGCTGCTGCTGTGTTCATTATGCTGTTTTAGACACTACCTCTGACTTACTTGAAGGGACAATATTGCCATTGTTCAGGGGGAAGCTGTTAACACTGTTAAATATCCAAACTGTCCTTTGGGCCTGAGAGGTGAAGGCTTGTCCCACTCTTCCTCTTTGGAGTCCAAATGCTTCTTCTGGACCTCTTTATATTACTTTAATACTTCAATACATTTATTGCAACCATGTTTGTTTCTTTTTTGTTTGTGTTTCTTTTGTCATTAATTTGGAGAATATTTCTATCTTCAGATTTTGAAGATTATAACTCACAAGTCTGAATTCCTGTTGGGACATTTGAGAATGTACAGCGCAACCTTTCTCTTTTGCTTGTTGGTTACTTGGATTTTTTCATCCTTTGGTTTTTCTTTGGGGAAAGTTTCTCACCCAGACAGCCTTTCTCTGGAAGAAGGTGGGCTAAATGGGGGATTACTTGATATTCAAAGAACTGGAGTTGACAGGGACTGCATAAAGCCTAAATATTGAATCACTGTGACTTGTGATGTGACAATGAATTTTGAAATAGGACTTGCAAGTTGTGCTTGTAGCTATGGGGGAGAAATTTCTCCAGCCTTCACATGCTTATGACAAAGTAAGCAATAGTCATAGAAGCACAGGCAGGTGTCAGTGCTGCTTCTTTCTGTAGTCATGCTCATTTTTGTTTGTTCACAACAAGATATGACCATGTGTGTTTGCGCCAATGCAATCGCATGTTGGTGCTTATCAGCACTTAATTCACTAGCTGATAGCAGTCCTGCAGTCTGGTTTACCTTTGTTTTTTTTTTTAAAAAAGATTAAGCACAAAAATGACTGATTAGCAGATGCTTCTCTCCTCAGTCATCTTTCTAAAGCAACTGTTGGTGCACTAATTATTCACTGAATATGAATTTGTATTAATCTCTAAGCTTATTTATAATAGAATGGATCATTTTTTATGGATATTTTATTCAAAAGAAAAGTGAATCTCAAGATTTATTATTTTTGTTATTGTATCCTGTGTCTGCCATCATGGTCTGACAGCTGTGAAAAATCTCAAACCTCTTTGCTTGCTTGTCACAAACTCTAAACTTAGGACAAGTTTATCTAAAGGTTTGCAAACCTTCCATATGAACCTTGGCTGGATTCTGAGCAGACTGTAATCTGATTTATCTGTTGTTTGCATGGTTTTCATTAGAGTTCTTTGAATTTTTTAACTGAATCCTTTCTCTAAGGGAGTTGGGGGTAGGGGACTGCCTGTCACTCAAGCTGTCTTTCTCCTTTCCTCTTGTGTTCTAGTGACGGGGGACAAGTGATAAAAATCAGTTTTTGGGAACTAAGCTCAAATTTCTAGTTTAATACTTCCTTTGAAAACCTCAGCAGAAGGTTTTTATTTTTTTTTTTCTTGTTGATGAAACTGTTGGAACCTTTTTTTGAACAGCACTGTTTAGTGTGCAAATTTATTTAAAATACCTGGATTTTCCTTAGCTGTATTTTGTGTTAGCCTACTTTACTCGTGGCCCCAACTGAAACTCCATGATAGCATTACGTGTATGGATTTGGTTTCAGTGGTGGTGTAGCTGCAAATTGTCTTAGAGCTCAGAACTCAGGAAAACCTGGCTTGAATACTGATTAGGCAGAAATAATATGTTTGCAAGGTTTCCTGCAGAACTGGAAGACAAGGCAAGAAGATGAAGTGAATATGATGTTTGCATTTGACCCTTAATGTATTTTGTACTGTATATATCTACCTCAAAAGAGATTTATTGGACTTAACCAATACTTGTATTGTGCATGCACAGGAATGACTGAGTCATTGGTCCTTCTGCTGTATTTATTTGGATAGAAACGAGATGGTTGCAACTCAGGGCTTTGGTTAGACATTTTTAAGTGCAAACTCAGCAGTTTCTCTAACATACTTGCTGTTAGCTCTTGCCTCTTGAAATAGATAATGGCATGTTAGGTGTTAAGAGTGTTAGCAGAGGGAGAAGAAATGGAAAACAGCTTTAGGATTAATGGTTAAGTATGTGTGGGGGGAGAACAATGTTTCTGTAAGGTTGGCCTGTCTGAGGAGTCTCATGTGTCTTTTCAGAGCAGTGCTGATGTTGTGCTTCTAATGTGAGGAACCTGACAGTCTCAAGTAGTGAGTTGGGCTCTTGGCAGATAATACTTGTCTGTGACAGGATATCTCCCATGGATATTCTGGGCAATGTTAGTGCTGGTGTTTCAAATTGGTCCTAGGGTAGTCCTAAACCATCCTAAGCGATATGAACTATCTTTCTTCTATTCTGTTACACAGAGCAAAGCTACCCATATAACAGGCTTATCTCTCTGACACAACACCAAAACATATTCAGACCTCCTCATGCTTTGAAAGATGGAGCTCATCTAGGCTTGAACTTTGGGCTGTGGACTCTATTTTGCAGCATTACAAAATTAAAAGGTGAGCTGGGCAGGAAGGGAGGGTCAAGGAAGTAGGGCAGTAGTTTGCATCCAGTGCCCAGGTGGAAGGTGTGGCAGTGTTTGGCCCAGTTTCAGGCAGTAGAGTGGAGCAGGTCTGGCAGGTGAGTGACAGTGGCTGCAGCTCATGCTGAGACACTCAGGCAATAGTCTGACTCTGAGTAGTCTGTTCCTGAGGTCAGTGTGAGCAATTCAGACTGTGAGATCAGGGATGTGTGAGCTGGAGGAAAATAAAGATTGACATGAACACAGGAGAAAGCTGGGGGTTTTTTGCTGTTGATGTAGACATACATTTGGTGAATACAGTGCTTCAGTCTTGCTCGTATATCCCCAAAGCAGTAGGGTTTACTCTTAAACAGTCTAGGTAGAAAACTCCCCCTGAAGAGTTGTTCTGACTTCTTGACTATTTGGTAGGTGCTGGGAGAGGAAAAGCCAGGAAAAGAGCAGCTGCTTGAGGCAAAGTACTTACTTGAATTGCATGTTCTTGAATAATTATTCATATGGTTTGTTATTATAGATTCAGGTTACTTATATATTGTTTTATGACTGTTCTTTCTCTTCCTAATATGCAACACAGAATGCCAAGCACACTGATGGCATTCCTGTTCTCCTTGCACTGATTGCTGCCATGTGCAATTCAAGGGCACATTTGAGGCACAGTAGATCTCTGTGTGTATCCTTGATGGGAAGTAGTAGGGAGATAGTTGTTACATGTGTGACTACTTAGCTTCTTACTGTGTCCTTGTAGGTGAAAACAGAAAAGGAGTCACTACTGGATTTTGCAGACTGACAATCTCTTGGCTTCTTACTGTCCTAATACATTGAACTGTGAAACTGGGAGTTAGTGTTTTCTTTTGTTATTTAAAAAAATAAAAATAAAAAAAAATCCTGCTGTTGAGTTTTATCTCAAGAACTGAAGGGATACCTGTGTGCATGTGCTCTGCTGGGATGATGAGGATCTTGCTGGAGACAGTGCTGGCAAGACATATTTCGGGGGTGCTGTGGGCAGTGAGAGATGTGAGATTGGGAGTCTTCTAGGGTTGCTTAGCCTGGAGAAAAGGAGGTTCAGGAGAGGCCTTATTGCTCTCTACAACTACCTGAAAGGAGGTTGTAGTGAGGTGGGAGTTGGTCTCTTCTTCCAGGTAACAACTGACAGGAGAAGAGGAAATGGCCTCAAGCTGCACCAGAGGAGGTTTAGATCAGGTGTTAGGAAACAGTTCTTCACAGAAAGGGTTGTAAAGCATGAGAACAGACTGAACGGGGAAGTGGTGGAGTTGCCACCTCTGGAAGAGTTCAAAAAGTGTTTGGATGTGGCACTTGAGAACATTGTTTAATACTGAGCACAGCAGCGCTGCACTGGACTTGATGATCTTGGTCTTTTCCAACCTTGGTAATTCTATGATTCTATGATTCAGAGCAGAAATGCTGACTGCAAAAAGGCCCATATTCTGCTAAATGGACTCTTTGGAGAAGACAGGAACAATGAGAAAATGCTATCTTTGCTCCCAACACATCCTGTCTTCTGGTGTGTTTGCACTGAGTTAGCGTGTTGGAGTTGACAAAGCACCTATGCTGTAAGGTTGAAGAAGTACTTTTGAGCAGGAACTTCTGGCTCAAACAGAAGTAGGGCTTCTGCCAAGATGCTTATCTTGTTTCTCATCTGGCTAAGCCTTTGGAAATATTTTCTTTGCATACCTGTCTCAGGTGTCAGAGTTCATTGCTGTATCATCTAGCAGCCTAGGGTTTAGGACTTCAGTAGACAGATAGAGGATGTGGCCATTTTGATTTAAAATTGGGTTACCCATGGAAGTTTAGAGAGCATGTGGGACTTCAGATTTACTTGACTTTGCAGTATTTCATACAAAGTCCATATGAAGTTTTAGTAAGACTTTCGTCTTGATTTCAACACATTGTTACCAATCCCTAATAAGCAAATTTTTTGGTCAGAGGACCACTGTTGGGGACAAAACTTCAGGCAAATTTTCAGTGGTTATTTAAGCACAGAGAAATTGTCTAATGTGAGGAACAGCACTGACCCAAAACTTCATTCAAAGTTCAGATTGGTTCAAAATGCAGTTCTTTTTGGCAGTGGAAAATAAGATTTTTTTTTTTATTATTATTTTTATTTTGCTTTTCTCTCTGACAAATTCTTATTCCAGCCTTGGTTTTTAACTCAAC